GAGTCACAGAGAACAATGGAGAAGGGAATTCTTAAGAGAATAGGGGAAAGGGCTGATAATGAACATTTCCCATACCCAGGGTAATGACAAGTCTCCACTCTTCCTCCCCTTTCTGAACGCGGATGTTTATTGTGGTAACAGTTCCACTGGCTTCACCACTGTACAGTAAGTGTGAGGATAACAGAACATACTCGTTTCCTGGGTCTCCAGCCTGACCAGTGGGAGCAGCATTCAGACCTGACATAGCACTTTCAAAGAGCCTGGTTTTGGAAAAGTAGATGGTACTCTGGGGCTTATCTCTTGAGAAGACAGTCACTGTGCTCCACATGCAGAAACAAGAGCTGAGTATTTGGTGACCAGAGGGCAGATTCTGAGAGACCTCTAGTGCACTCACAAGCCCATTCGCCTTTTCTTCAGAGCCCTGGGAGACTTCACTCTTTTCTACCCATTCTTCCTTGCACTCAGACAGGGCTGTGTGACTACTTCTGGTCACCGGGGTGTGTGAAACACATCGAAAGTGAAGAATTTAATTGCTTGTCCAAGAGATTTGGTGTTCTCTTCCTCTGCCGCAGTGAAGAGGCCTGGTGTTCAAATGACAGAGCCAGAACGCAGCGAGTGAGGGTGATAGTCACCAGCTGACAAACAGTTGCTTCTGCAGATTGTCTAGATTCTCAGTGGACTTTGGGTGAGGAAAAAATAAACTATTTTTTTCCTCAGTGCACCTGGATTTATTAAGTTAGAAATAAACTTTTAATGTGATAAGTCATTGTTACTACAGCATAACCTAGCCTGTTCTAATACATATGGGGATGCAGACAGTTTAGATATTTCTGCTTGAGTACAACTTTAAAAATGTATGAAAATGGCTTCAGGGAATTCCCTGGTGGTGCCATGGTGAGGACTTCACACTTTCACTGCTGAGGAGGTTGGTTCAATCCCTGGAGACTAAGATCCCACAAGCCATGTGGCACAGCCAATGTTTAATTAATTAAACATCTCATATAACAAAATGGTTTTTAAATGGCTTCACAAGGTCCACGAACCTCTGAAATTACATACAAAAATCTGGGGCACATATTTTTCTAAGAAAATATAAATGTCAAAATTTCCCTTCCTAGCCTCTCTGTTGCCATCAGCAGGAGTGCAGAAACAGCCCAAGAATTAAGACCTTCCACTTCCTCCAACATTGATAGCTTCTCTTTGGGACTATCAGGACTAATACCATCCATCTTTTATCCCTAAAACATCCTTTATCTCATGGAACTTAATTCCCATATGGCTCTGTGGCTAATGCTGCTTGATTTTTCTCTGTATCATTTAACATTTGAAATATCTTTTCCTTAATTTACACTCCTTAGAATGTCCATTTCCTCACTTTTTGGAGTGGTCAGTACTGTATCCCCAATGCGTACCACACAGCAGATATTCAATACTTATGAAGGATGGTCTATAACATTCGATATAATCTCAAAGAGCTTCGTGTCCTAAAAACAGTTAAATGAAAAAAGGCAGGCAAAATATTTCCTAATGAATTATTCTGCCTAAATAACTCAAACAGTTTGAGAAACATTTGAAAGGATGAAGGCTCACCCTTGTTACATACTGCAATCAAAATGAAAGAGGCCCGTGAGATATTTTATTTTGAAATAATAAACTTCTGAAAATATGAAGGATATTTTAAATATAGCTAAGTAAGCTGATACAGTGTTGATACACAAAATATTCTGTCAATAATGTGCATTGAAAAGACTCCAGGACCAGTCTTGAAACATAAATATGAATTTAATATTTATTTTGCATGTTTATATAGTAAAATCAAAATAATGTTCCATAAGTTACATTGCTATTTTCCAAAAACACTGTGGAAAAAGATAAAATAGTAGGAATGATATATAATCATTATTGCTTAAAATTAAAAATATAGTTATCTATCTTTTAAATAGATTTGAATTGATGCATTTCTACATGAACCAGAACATTTTAAATATCTAAAAATAGTCTTTCTTAATGCAATAGATAATAAAGAATCACATTTATTGTATACATCTGACTTAGCCTTATTTCTTCAGGTAACATGCAGACAAATTATGAGGATGAATTTAATAAAAGTAGGCAAGATACTATTTTATACCTCAAAAATAAGATGAAGTTGATACATTTCACAGCTTAATCCTCAGGAAATTTTATTCAGATGCCATATAAAATCATTGACTAAAGTCACACATGCAAACTAAGAGCTCTTAAATATATCATAGTAAAATAGCTTTGTTAGCATATTTACAGTAAGAAAATAGGTATCACCTACTCTTAGAACTGACACCACTCTCCATGGCCATTCAAAACAGTGGTCTTTACATCAGTTTTAAAAACATTACATGACAAAATCTTAAATATAAACATACTCTGGTTATGTCAAAAATATTCACATAATTTATATATAGTCAAAAATTTATCATTTTAATATGGAATAACAAGGGAAAACCGAGGTTATATATACACTGTAAGCCAGTTTCTAAATAAAGCTAAACTCTCATCTTACTTCTTAAATTCATCTGGCCAAACACTATGGTAGTTGTTTTGAGGATCTGTAAACATTCTCACTGATTCAAACTATTTCCTGAGGTCATCTGAAAGCTACTGTTACTAAATTAGTTTCACAATTTAATACCCCTGCAAATGTGCTTTAGAAATATTCAAAATAAAAGCAAAAATTTAAATGTAGATCCATGTGTAACTTAACATACTTCCTCTATTACAAAAGCTATTTTTAGTCAATTCTTAGATCTCAAAATTAAATTTATTCCATTACTAGCAGACCTGGAAAAGCAAAGCTCTCATAAACTTCAGGCCATTAAAAAAAAAAAAACAAATTTCAAAATTAACTCATTTACACTGTGGAAATGAAAATAAAAGTTTCTTATTACTTCTGGAATAATGTCTAAAATTCACACAGGCCTCATTTGAAAACATGTTAAAATAGTGCCAGTGCAGTGCCTGACTCCGGGCTGATGTTAAATAAAATATATACTTAATGAATAAACATGAAGTTAAGCATAAAAACTACTGTAGTAATTGAGTACTGAGTTAATGTTCTGAAGCTACAATGTATCACTCAATGAAAAGTCACTCTTAACTGGTGTTCAGAATAAAGTTTAATAGATCTCCTAATTAACAAATATAGCCCTAGTTCATGTCCTAGCATCCTATCAATGAAAAAAGGAACTAGGCACTTTCCCTGATGCTTGTCCTCGGGGATTATTCACCATCTCTACTTAACTGTGTAATGGGTAAGCCAAGAGGAAACAGAAAAGAATGTTCATTTCTTCCCCTTCTTTCTTCTTTTCTTTCCTTTCCCTGTTTCTTTCCTTCTCTTTTTCATCTATCCATCTACCTATCAATGAAATAAGAAGCAGGTGACATCCAATGAAATGTGCATGCCTCTTAATGGTACTTTTCTAGGAAAAAAATGAGGCAACTTAACATTTACATTTGGGGGAGTGACAATTACATTTTGGTAAAAGATGGCTGACTTGAATAAAGCGATTTAACTAATAGTTTTCCAAAAAATTTCTCTGCTCTGGTGCTGAAGTCTTCAATATTAATGGATTAAAGTTAAAGAAAAAACCTTTAAACACTGTTTACCTTTTACAGGATACAACCTGAGTTTACAGGTTAACTTATATAAAGTTATATTTTTCCATCGTTTCACTGTTAAAAATCAAGGAGATCACTACTACTGAAATTTTGACAGCTTAAAAATAGTTTATGCAATGACTTTTTAAGGCTCTGAATTTCATATATTATCGTCTTTAACACTAATCACAATTCCATTCATCCATATAGCAAAAGGCAGTACTAATAACCTTGATATTATATACACTTAAATATTAAGAAGGGTCAGAATCTTGGTTAAATATTTCCATACATTATCTTATAGCCACTTCCTTAAGAAGAGGAGAATGAACTAGGGCCAGGCACTTATCCAGCACCTGCCTGTACTATCATTCGTGAGCACAAATGATGAGGATGCTTGAACCATGCAGTTATGTGTTTTTATTTAATAATGTAACACCAAAGTAGTCATTTTTTAAACATTTAAGCCTAAGGAATAGTAATATTTTCATGGCAAGTTTTGACAGCTTAATAATTTGTTTTCTAGGAGTGGGGGGAAATACCATCATTTTGCTATTAATTATTTTAAAAGAAAATCAGAAATATCAACTTAATGGTCCATTAAAATAAAAACAAAACCTAGTTGAACTTTCTAATGATGCTTAGTAAAGGCAAAAAGTGATCTCAAAACCCCAAAATCATGATTAATATTTATTGCTCTACAGAACTAGAAAATGCATTATATTTTCCTGTTAAGTATAAGAATATAATTCTCTATCATTTACAAATATGATTTGTTAATTTACATTTCAAAAGTATCCTATGGTCTCATATGGATTAACAACTTCTATTTACCAATTCTGCATGTAACAATTATCTATAAATACATTTTGATCTTGGTTAATCACCTGTAAATTATTCTCAACTCTACCATGAATAGGCTGAAAATAGTATATTGATAAAATATTTTAGTATTTTTCTAGTTCTCAAAACCTCAAAGCAATAAGCTAATCAATGTTATTTGTAAATCCCTATTACTGAAGTTACAGTGGTACTTTTTTATATGGTTGAGTCATATAAAAAATGATAAAGTCACTATGCCAACTGTGTAAATACATGTTACAAAAAGGGCTTCTTTCCCTGATAGCTCAGCTGGTAAGGAATCCCTTGCAATGCAGGAGACCCTGGTTCCATTCCTGGGTCAGGGAGAGCCCCTGGAGAAGGGTTGGGCTACTCACTCTGTCTTCTTGGGCTTCCCTGTGGCTCAGACAGTAAAGAAATCCGCCTGCAATGCGAGAGACCTGGGTTCCATCCCAAGGTTGGGAAGATCCTCTGGAGGAGGGCATGGCAACCCACTCCAATATTCTTGCCTGGAGAGTCCCTATGGACCGAGGGGCCTGGCGGGCTACAGCTCGGGTTCACAAAGAGCTGGACTCGACTGAGTGACTAGGCACAGCACAGAGCATGTTACAGCTGTGCTTCCCACACAGCCGGGCAATGTGCCGCTGGGTAGCCCTGAGATGCTTCTAGGTGCAGTGCTGCATGAGTGAACAACCTTTCTTTAATTTACACATTTATTTTAATACTTATTAGAAAAAAATATAACTAGCACATAAAATGCGGAATATGATCAAAATAAGACTATTGTTTAAAAAAGCTAAAAAATAAGGTTAAGAATAATAAACAATGGCACAGGAGATATATATACACACATATATAATATACACACACACACACATGAAAACAGAAAAGTGGTACGTGACTCACATTTGGGAAACACTATCTAAGGAACGATTTGACTTAGCCATTTCTGAATGCCTGCAGTAAGTCACATTATAAAGGAGTTAACTGTTGTGAATTCTGTTATTTTTTTCCAGGACAAATACGTTTTTAAAAACATGTGCTTATGTTTATTTTAAGGATATAAGTTTGAAAGCATTTAGTTTTGTTTTACTTTAGTTTTGTTTTTGGCTGCACTCCACAAGGTATGCAGAATCTTAAGTTCTTTACCCAGGGGCCCAACCCTGCAGTGGAAGCTGAGTCTTAACCACTGAAGCACTGGGGAAGCCCCTGAAAACATTTACTTTAAAATTTACTTTAAAAGGATTCACCAAAACGGTAACAATGTTCAGGAACATTTGAGGGACATGCTATTCCTACAGAAAAGACTACAAAGGCACATTGCATATTGTGGTTAACACTGCAGCATTTAAATAAAAGTGACCTAAATAATCATTATCACTACTAATTAACAGATAATTATAATATTCTTTCATAAAAAAGAAGGTATGCTTGTGCACTAAGTGCTCTTGATTCTGGAACCACCTGCACATAAGTGTCACTAACATGGACCCACTGGCTTGCTGATTCGCTATCAGGTTCTTTCAAACCTAACAAAACAAAAAGAAGTATAATTTTACAATAAGTATGTTCTGACTTTACAAGTAAGTTATCATTAACTATATGCATCTAATGTTAGACTTTATTGAGTAAGGCTGTTTGGGGTTAAACATCTTCCAAAATGAACTCTTTCAAAGCATTAATATTAAGAGCATTTAAATATCTAGTAAAATACTAGATAGCCTTATTTAAAGAAAACTACATTTACACTAAAAGAGAAAGAAAGAAATACATAGATGACTAAAGCAAATTTTTAACTCCAGCTCTATTCTGAGGACCTGGTATATCTTCAAAAACTACTGATACTGTTAAATAAAATGTTATTCCACTGCAATACACGATGACTTAACACCTTGAAAAACTGGGTGCCATTTCACATGATGTGAAGGGTAGTTTTATGATATTTAAGATTATCTAGGTACTCTTTAAGGTATTTCTCACTTAAAGTGAATCCACATGAAGTATCCATGAAAAAACTTACTTCTTCCAGAAAAAGAATAAATTAATTTGTTTTTAAGAATAAAACAAACTCAGGGTGGCATACCAGGTACATTTTTCTTTCCAGTGATGTGTTCCAGTAATTTCCTGGAGGGTGTTCTCACTTTCACGTAAGCGGTGTAGTGGCCTCCTCTCATTGAGCCACTATGCTCCACTACGCCATAGAGACCATAGAGAACTTTACCTCCTACACTGACATTCTTTTAGACAAAGAAAAAAACAATACAAGACAAAAAATTAGTAATATTTAGTGAAATCTTATTATAAGGGAAATTAAATCAAATGCACATCCTACTTAAAATAAGAGCAATTAACATTATACTGGGGTACTTGCCCATAGGCTGCTGCTGCTGCTAAGTCACTTCAGTCGTGTCCGACTCTGTGTGACCCCATAGACGGCAGCCCACCAGGCTCCCCCGACCCCGGGATTCTCCAGGCAAGAACACTGGAGTGGGTTGCCATTGCCTTATTCAGCGCATGAAAGTGAAAAGTGAAAGTGAAATGTAAAAACTTGACCTTTTTTCTGTTGCCTGGGCGGTCAGGAAAAAGAGTGCTCACATATGGGAATGCAAAAGAGTAGCTCTATTCAGAAAAATTTCATGTTATTTAGCTAAGCTACATGTGCATTACTCTTGGATTTATCAATCCCTTTTCTAGGACTTTATCTCATAGGTACCATGAGCAATATGTAAAAACACATGCACCAGACAAGTGATTGCAGGATTATTTGTGAAACCAAGAAACTGTAGACTCAAAAGTGCATAAACTGGGGACGGCTTGAATAAACTATAATGCATCCATAGAATAGAGTATTATGCTGCTTGAAAAACAGAGTGCAGATTATCTCTAAACACTGCTATGAAATACTCTCCAGGACACAGTGTTAATACGGTAGAAAAAAGGATACATCTTGTAAGCTATAATTATTAAAGAGGTGAGATATATATATATAATAGATATGCACTTATTTGTTTATTTTTTAAAAATTATAGATGAATAAATAATAATTTGAAGAAATGATTATCTCTAAAGGAAGGAAAGAAACAGGTAGAACAAACATGGAGAAAACCTACAGTTGTTTGAATTTACCTTGATTTACACATTTGACTTTAGAACTACATAAATACTTATGTAATTATTAAACAACAAACAAATTTAAGTAACAATCCCTAAAAATGAAAATTTAAAAATAAAGCAAATGAACATCCAGTTGGTAGCATAATCACTCTGTAAGCAACCACAGGGGTCATGTCAAAAGAACCCAGGAGCCAGCCTGAAGAGGCTCTCAGTGGCCAGCAATGGACCCACCAGACGTGTTAACTATGAATTAAAAGAAGAGTGCAGTAAATGGAAACATATTTAGTGTGTTGAAATCCATGAATTCATAATGATAAATTTACTGATCACAGTCTGAGAATGATAGTAAATTCATTATTCTGAAAACTCGTTTAAAAGGGGGACGGAGAAAGAATTGAGCATTTATCTTGCCTTTTCTAAAAGAACTATAATGTAAAATAACTAAAGAGATGAAAGGAATTTCTCTTTATATAGAAGTATTCCAGTAAATAAATGAAGAAAGAGTAACAGGATACCACCATTCTGTAATTGTTAATGAACTCATTGAGCAACACTGGTTGCTAACATCACAGGAAAGTAAGTGGCATTATGTGCCACCTGATGAAAGAACAGAACACTCCCTATGAAACAGCCTTATCAGGGGTTGGGGTGGGAGTGGTGGGGTGGGGTGAGGATCCATTCAAGCTTCTCTTGAGCCAACTACCTATTTGTAGGAAATCAAGAGGATAAAGGAATAATCACCAAAATCCAAGCTCTAGGAAACTACCAGAAAGATGATCCAGTTTCTTCAACAAATAAATTGCAAGGAGCAGAGATGGGAGAGGGAAACTATATATTGAGAGGTATTTTTCAATCATGACATGTAGCCCTTACGTGGATATAATTCATCTCAAGAATTTATTAGACAATTGGAAATATGTATGCTAGAAGATAGAAAGTGGAAGTGAAGTCCCTCAGTCATGTCCGACTCTGTGACCCCATGGACTGTAGCCTGCCAGGCTCCTCTGTCCATGGGATTTTTCCAGGCAAGGATACTGGAGTGGATTGCCATTTTGTTCTCCAGGGGATCTTCCCGACCCAGGGTTTGACCCCGGGTCTCCCGCACTGCATGCAGACTCTTTACCATCTGAGCCGCCAGGGAAGCCCAGCAGATATAAAAAGTACTGCTAATTCTTTTAGCGTGAAAGTGGTATTGTGGTTATGTTTAAAAGGGGGGTGGTAATTCTTATCTTTTAGAGACACACAGAGGAAAAGATTTATGAATGAAAGGATATCTGATACTTGCTTCAAAATAGTGTAAGAAAAAAAATTAATATAAAAGGAAGAGATAGATGAATATGTGGACGGGGCAGGACTGGCCATATATGTAGGGTCTGGGGGCGAGAGGTTAATTTGCCACATTATTAAATTCTATGAATATATCAAATTCTATGAATACTAAATGTAAACAACTGGCAGAAAGTGCTGGTTATTCCACAGTAGATGAACTGGATTCACTGCAAAACTGCATTTAAGATATTTTTGTCTTGATTGATCAATGTATTGAGAATATTAAGTTCAATAAGTTTACGTACCACAAAACCTAGACTGCTAACCAGAAATGGCGAGCTGGACAATATGTGAGTTACCCCAGAACTGTGTGGTTTCCACACGGAAAGCAAAGTCATCAATTTCACCTACAGTTAGTTCTCACAGATAAGCACAAGCAATTATAAACCAGCTTGCTTTCTATGTCTGATTATTAAAGTATTAGTAATTTTAAATTTGTACTCAGTTGGCAAGCACACTAGTCTCAGTTACGTACATGAAATGGCATGAAAGACAATGCACTAGTACATTGGTTTCCAAAAGGGAAGAAAACTCTTCAAATGCTAAAACTACTGCCAGTTAAGCACGTCATTCACAAGGAATAGGAGAGGGCACAAAACCTGTTTATTTCTCTCAGCAACTATCTGACTCTAGCAGCATTTACAAGCAGCTGTGATCATGAACATCATGCCTCACTCATGCTTTATGCATTTCTTCAACTTATTCTGTCTCCCAAAGGACAAAAGTCATATTCAGTGTGTTAAATGTTGGATGGAAGAAGAAAGGGAGGAAGGGGACAAGAGAGACAGAGGGTAGGAGGAAGGGAGAAAGACATGGTCTAATAAACAGTACATAGGATATTCTAAAGCATATTATTTGCAAGACAATTAAATATCTTAATAATATACTATACCTTACAAGTAGCGGAACAGAATGGCGCCAAGTCAAGCATAAGTGGAAAATCTACATGTCTGTTTACTTTGCGAAGACCCAAACCAGCCTAAAAAAAAACATTGTCACAAACTTAATTTATAGATCATTGGGTTTGTTAATTTTAATTAAAACCAAAAGAGAAATCCAAAAAGTTCATCTCTTCATAGCTATTAAAACATCAACAATCCAAAACTGATAGGTGATCAAGTTCTCAATTAGGTTTCATAGACTTATTGCAAAGATCACTAATTTACATGGGTATTTTTACCGCAGACAATATGAAAATAATTACTTTCACTGTGCATTTCAACACTGAAAAATAAACTCAATGTGATTAAAGCTAAGCTATTGACACATATACTACCTAAAAATGTACTCAACTGAAGAGTCAGGAGTCTGGTGTTACAGGCCTGACTCAATGACTGGTTAACAGTTAACTTGACTCTAGACATAGACAACCTTATCTAGATCAAGGCAGAAAATGGGTATAAATGGGTTAGATTAGGTCATTTTCAGTTCTAAAATCCAGTGATATTCATTCATTAAAAAGAAAAAAGCCAGAACACTCAAATAATTTTATCAATAAAAGTAAACATTATATATTACATAATTCAACATGAATCCTCATGTAAGAAACTGTACTTCTTTCTCTATTTTTAGTATCCAAAGGCAGACCTTGAAAAATGTATATTTGCACTAATAATAAAAATTTCCTGACAGACCATCAAATATATTGGATAGGAAACTAAAAAATAAAAATGGACTCTTTTTAGAATAAGAAGATACTTGAATCTGAGATGTTTGGGTAGACAAAATTAATACATATGCAACCTTTCATGAAAAGCTTTCATGACTTACTTCAATGACTAGTCTTTTTATTTGCACACTAATTACATAACACTTACTACAGATCATTGCCTATTTCTTATCTTTCTTTAAAGAAAAAAAAAAACAAAACTTATTTTTTGACAAAATATTGCCAGTGATTTGTATTTTCAAGTCATCTTTAGGAGTCTTAACCTGATATCAGACATGAAATTATGAAGTCATATGTCAGGAAAAATTAATCTGTATTCAATTTGTTTGCCTCCTTTTTTTCTTATCAGGTGACATCTATAAAGCGGCTGATAACAGCAATGTCTGAGATCATGTCAGGCTTAAGTGTCCTCCCCAAATAGTACTTTGCTGTTGAAAAATTAAACCTTAAGAGAGGAGACTTCTATCAACACTGTTATAATCTTTGCCATTTTGGACAGGCTAAAAGGGGAATCTCACTGTCATTGTATTTTGCATTTGCTTTGCTAGAAAGAATGGAACTTCCTTTCACATTTTCTTGGAATTTTTTACTTCTATGAACTGTCAATTTATGTTCTTTACCATTTTACTATTAGAGTCTCGATCTTTTTCTTATTGATCTTTAAGAGCTCTTTATTTATTTTCAATATTAATCACTTGCTATATTTGTGACAAAGAGCTCTATCTTGTTGAGATTTCTCAGGTACTGCGGATGTTTCTAATATAGAACTCTAAAATTAATATGAGGAAATAGGTTTTCAGGGACACAAGAAAGCTAGAAGAAGAGACACTGCTTAGAGATTCTGATCCCCCTATTTCACAGTTCCAGGGAATGAGAACGTGGCTTTGCAGACATTACATCTAGCCTGAGATCAAGAAGGGACCTAGACGTCTATAAAAATTTCCCTGTAAGGGCATGAATTCCTTCTGTAGGTTGTTCCTAAAAGGGATGCAAGTACCAAATATAAAATAACAGTGGTATATCATTCTCAAATCCGGCATGACCCTAGCAAGTTCACACCAAGTCCCTGCAGATATACACCTTCCGTTTAGCATTCTGATGTACTGTAATGAGACACAACACATTTGCTTCCGCTTTCCATGGCCATGTCCACAGAGTTTCTCTAAGGTTGGCTATAGAAAATCAAGAACTTCATCTAATTTCCGTGGGTAGGGATGGAGATACAGAGAAAAATCTCTTCCAGTCCATCTGTGGCCCACCTGAAATGTTGCAGATAGATCATCAAAGCTTTCCATCTCTCGAGATTTCTTTCAAGGGTTTTATATTTAGAAAATTCTTCACACAAGGATCAGGATAGTAATTTTCCTGAAGTTTTCTTCTAGACTCAATAATGTTTCATACAATTTTTAAAAATCTGTCTGAAAATAGTACTGATATCAACATTTATGGTCTAGAAGGAAGCTCTAAATTTTTATTTCAAAAACCTTTCTTAAGTCCTTTAGAGAATAACCTAGCCTCCTTCCCAACTGATTTGAGATTCATCCTGTATCGTAACAACAGACTTTAAATTGTACTCAAATTTACTGACAATTCTGACCACAGTATTTAATTATTAAAGTTTCTTCTGGAGAAACTTTAAAATCATTTTATCAAATGCAAAAAAAAAAAAAGAGAGAGAGATAAGACATTAAAGTATAACCAACTGGAGAAAAACTTTTAAAAATAGGTTCTCTCCCACTAGAGTCCTAGAAAAATGAGGTCTGCCTTGTAGCCCTTTTTACAACTAGTCCCAGCCAAACACACTCAGCCCAAGCACTCTTCTCCATTGGGATAAGACCTCAGAAAGCTGTGTGTACCTTGTTTTTTCCTGCTTCTAAGGGTTCCTTAAAATTCTATTTTCCACTGACACAAACCTATACACACTCTCTCTCTCTCACACACACACACCACTGAGGTTCCTACCATACCAGCTAAATCTTCAAATATTGTGAATTAGACAATCTTATTTAGAAAAGTCTTATAAGCTATCAGCTGAAAGAGGTAAATCTCACAAGAAAATTTTTAAATTCAATAAATTACTGTCTAATCCTTGACAGTAAAAGACTTGTGTGTGTATGCTGAGTTGCTCAGTTGTGTCCAGCTCTTTGCGACCCATGAATTGCAGCCTGCCAGACTCCTCTGTCTATGGAATTTTCTAGGCAAGAATACTGGAGGGGGCTGCTATTTCCTCCTCCGGGGATCTTCTTGATCTAGGGATCAAACCCGTGTCTCTTGCATCTCCTGCATTAGCAGGTGGATACCTTACCACTGTACCACCTGGGAAGCCTTACAAGACTAAGGGCTCTGCAAAACATAGGATGAAAATATGTATAGGGCTACTAAAGAGAATTTACCTGATGAAATCTTTTAAGATGGAGAATCAGGATAGCTGGAACAGCAGAAATGAGCAATTGCTTCCTGGCATTAGTATAAACCCCTTCTGCTTTCTTTTCTGCATAACAGACAATATAATAAATTTATTTATAAATTACATATTATACATTATTGCCCATATAGTACAGTAAACATTTAAACAGAAGCATAATACCACATTTTTGAAAATGTTAAAAAAAGAAATTAGACTTCTGATTACTGGGAGCCTCAACTCAATCCTAAAACTCCAATAATACGAAAGGAATTTTTAAGGCACACACTTGTGAGGACAAAGAATAGGGGAGCTGACAGTTGCAACACAACTCTGGAAGCTGGAGAGCTGGTAGACCAGATGTGACTTATGTCAATGCCTTCCAGTCAAACACCACCAGAAACATACCTGCAGTTGAAAAAAATGGGTCATCACTCACTGCAGTGAAAGGAGATCACGTATCATGGGAACGATGGGACATTTCCATAAAAGGTTGTTACATATGTAAAACAGCTAGCCAGTGGGAATTTGCTCTATGATGCAGGGAACTCAACCTGGGGTTCTGTGACAATGTAGAAGGATGGGATGGGGTGGGAGGTGGAGGGAGGTTTAAGAGCCAAGGGACATATGTATATCTATGTCTGATTCATGTTGATGTATGGCAGAAACCGACAGAACATTCTAAAGCAACTATCCTCCGATTAAAAATAAATTAATAAAAAACCAAGAGGTTGTTAGAAAAGACTTGTGCTAGGATTTGAATATGGCCAATTGCATATTTAACTTGGATTAGTATAAGCTGGCATTTCTTCCTCTCCCATCTAGACATTAATTTTAATGTATTAATCATATTTTCATTCTGATGCTTTCACATCTGGGGTCTTGCTGACACTGGAAAGGGCCTTTTCCAGAGCTAGCTAATGCCTAGATAGTAAACAAATTAAGTGTGCCTTTCATATGTATTTCCAAAGCCCTTACCCAACCACCTCCTTTACTGGGCTCTGATACTCTAGGTCACTACTCACCTGCCCTACTCACACCAGCGCCAGGTACCAGACCACTAGAGACAGCCCCTATGCCTCAGAGCCCAGAAATTATTCACTTCTAAACCCTTCTACCCTGCTTCACCCATCCCTCCCCTCGGCAACCATCATAAAGGCACTGGCCTGCACGTCCCCCCGCTCTCTCTGTCTCTTGCCCAGCCCTGGTGCTTCCCCTTGTGGCCCTGGGTGGCATGTCTTAGTGTATCCCCTCCTCCTGGGAGCTACACTTAAGTAATAAACTACCTCTTCAGTGGCAATCATCTCATCTGTTAGGCTCACTATACCCGAATAATAAAACCTACATTAAGAATCAGAATTTTTTCTTCATTTAATCAAGGCTAGAGGTACACCAAAAATTTCCTACTTGACAAATCAACCTTTTCTACTTTTCTCTTGTCAACAAAACATAGTTCATATATAGCTAGCTTTATAATATATAATAAAAAATATAATACATATTATATATTATATACTATATATTATATACTAGTTAATATATATAATATATAATAAAAAATATAATACATATTATATATTATATACTATATATTATATACTATATATTATATACTAGTTAATATATATAATATATAATAAATATATCATAATATAATATAAAATGTATATTATATAATATATAAACATAATATATAAATATATAATTATGTATAATTATATATTATTGTATATATTTATATTTATTATATATTTATAAATATAATATAAATTATATTGCATAATATGTAATATATAAATATTATATATTAATATATAATAATACTTAAAATCTTCAAATTTATATCTCATGATATGACTTTTGTGAAGGACATTAATCTCACTGGTTTTGCAATTAAGTTTTACAGAAATTATTCCTGGAAAGACTTCAGATAGCTAGTTTCCCGAAATAAGATTATGTGGATTTGCACTTTCAAGGCAGAGATGGATATGTCCTGTTCTTCGATTTATCTGGACAAAATTCTATCGAAAATTTCCCCTACCCAGTCCTTGTCTTCAGTGCTAAGGTACAAATATGAATAAGACAACTCCCGACTCCAAGCAGCTAATGTATGGTGGACAGGTTCTTAGGTTCCTCCATATGGGATCTATAACCCACTAGTCACTGATTATCAGGTAATCCATGAATACATTAAAAAAAAAAATTAAGCTAAATATTTACCTGCAGAAGTGGCTTCCCTTTGGCACTTCTGTTTCTTCTCAGTACAGTTCTCACACAGAAGCTTGTTATTCCCCATCAGCAATTCCATAGATGTAAAGTGATAGAGACACGACTGAAGCGAACATTCTTTAGAAGTGGTTATATAGCTCTGAGAAAGGGTCTGAAAAGCATTTTGGGGGCTCTGAGACACCATATGCTTGTCCTCTGAAAAACATAAATTATTTGAAACATTTAGTGGCTGACTTTCTCTGTCAAAATCCCTAGCTCGAATTACTGTGCTGCTCAAATGAAGTTCAGAAACAGCTTCAGCCACTCCCTCATCAGCACGGTCGCCCTCCCTAGCGAGTGGTTCACTCTTGGACGGGTAGTGAGGGTGTCCATTTGTGTGCATGTGGTATCCGCTTCTGGACCTCAACAACAAAGTCTGTTTCGGAGCACTCTCAGACTCCGAAGCCTCGCTGTCAGCATCGACACTGCTTTCAGAAAGGCTGTCTTCTTCCTCACTGCCATCGGTGGGGCTGTCAGTCAGAGCCGGCTCGGTGTTCATGGTGCTTGCAAACAATGAAGAGTCTCTATTCACCTCAAGGCTTTCACTTCTCTGGTATATGACAGCAGGTTTATCTTCTCCAGACGATGATTTTCTTGTACATTTTCTGCCATGAATTAGTTGATTCTGTAAGTTGATAGTGTTTTCAGAGAAAAGAATCTTGTGACCTTACTGAAAATAAATGCTAGTAAGTCTTATTTAAACATTTCACAATTATTAAAATACGATTTCTAGTACCTCTGAAATCCATTTCCTAAATCTACCCAAACTACAATGAATAGTATGCTAACAAAAAGCTCTAATTTAAAAATAAACTTTTATACAAGGAACCAACTTAATGGTTACCTATTTATGGAAGGGGAACAGGACTTTTGTGGAACAGCACTATGCTGGGGATGTCTCAAGTGTAAACCTCTGCACAATCTCTGTAGTTTTGCCCCTTAAAGGACTTTTGAACAGAGTAAATCTGGTAATACATCAATTTACCAAGTTAGTATAAATCATATCATGTAAAAAAGTTTTGCTTTTTTTTTTAACAAGGTGCAAATTCAAATGGATGTGTTTAAAATTTATATGGCTTTATTCATCAATCACGTATGTCCCTGGTGGAAGAGTGGGTCAGATAATGGTCATCAATTACTGATAACATCACAGGTAAAGAAATATCAAACATGATATGCACCTCCTGATGGAAATACATACCATCACTTGAAAAAGTTTTCTTGCAAAAAATTAAATAGTCAAACTTAAACCTATTTAGGCCTTTAGTTCTAACTGCCTCAGAGAGGAAACAAAGGGAACAGAGGCATCTCTTAAGAACATGTAGATGAATTACTGCATGCAAAATGAACTACCACAATATGCAAAATCAATCACTATTGATGTAGGAAGGTAAGACTGCTGAAAAAAAATGATCTCATGTCTTCAACAAATAAATTGCAAAGAAAAAAAAAGGTGGAATCTGTGGATTAAAAGACATTTAAGAGACATGGGAATATATAGATCTTTTTAAGATCCTAAATTCAAATATGCTTGAAAAAGCAAAAGCAAATATTTTATGAGACAATTACAGAAATTAAAATTATGACTAGATGTTTGTCCTATTAAGTTTTAAATATTTTTAGGTACAATAATGATACAGTGGTTATGTCTTTAAAAAGCATCTTTTAGAGAAATACATTTAGATATATGTTGGGATTTATTTCAAAATAATCTAGGATGAGGAGGAGGAAAGTGTGGGACAGACAGATAAAACATGACTAGCTGTGAGATGACAATCATGACACTGAGAAATGGGTACATGGGGGTTATTCTACCTTTTTGTCTATTTTTGTATACTTTAAAAAATTTTTCTTACTACAGTGTTTCAAAAAGCAGGATGTTTCACAAATGCATATAATCTTACCATATCTTTAGATGAAGAATGCTTCCTGATGGCTTTGGGTTGATGAGTATTTTCTACAGTAACAGTGCCACTGTACTGACCATTATCTGTCTCTTGTAAACTTCCATATTTACTTATTCTTCCCAAAAGTACAGGTTTTGAAACCTATATAGATAGCATGTACATAATACAAAATTTCTTTAGGAAATAAATTCTGTGTATCATCTACATTTTAGTATTTGTAACACTTGAAATATAATTTCCTAAATGTTAATTCTTAAAATATAAAGCATAAGGGTTTAAATTCCTTGAGATTAGGAACTATATCACCCTATATATACAAACTCTAATATCAAATACACTGCAAAAACTCAATTACTGTATATAAAGAGTAATGACTCTCAAATGCCTGATAATACATTCAAAAATGCCTATGTTATGAATTTATAAATGTCCTTCATGAAAAGACTTAAGGTTTTTCTCCTTACCCTTTCTTCTATTATAGGAAGTGAAATATCAATAAAAGGATCTTTCACCATGGAGATCTTAAAAAGAAAACACATTGAGAACTTAAGTTAGAATTCTAATGTAGACAATGTAGTTTTGTAAAGTCTTAAAGAAATCAAACTTCCCAGGAAACTTAAAATCTTAAGTTAAAAAGCATTCCTGGAGGAAATAGTGATTTAACTGGGTATAGCAACACATTTGTTGTTCAGTCGCTCAGTCGTATCCAACTCTTTGTGACCCCATGGCAACACATATATGGTTAATCAAAATAAGATATTCCAAAGCTTCAGTAAATGCAACACAGTTGAATTTTATAATACTGGTAATATGACTAATGTGGAATATTTAAAGTAACTTTTAAAATAAACTGTGTTTAATAAAACTGATTAACTGAGGGTATAAGCATATTTTTGGTGAAACTGGGGCCATAAAATAAATAAAGTATGAAATGTTACGAAAAAGCCATGAGAAAAGCCAGAGAACTTGACTGTGTTTTGAAGATTCTTCAGGATAATTCTATTTTAAAAGACACTCTATGGTTTGTGAAAAAAGAAATCAACTTCTATGTTGACTATATTAGAAACCTAAGTGGAGCTGACTATTGAACAATGCGGGGGTTAAGAATGCTGACCCCCATCCCACTGAACAGTCAAAAATTAGAGCTTCACAACTTCACAGCTGGCACTTCGTATCTGGGATTCTGCGTCCGCAGATTCAACCAGATGCAGATTGTGTATGACTTAAGCAGTATTTATTGAAAAAAGGTGTGTGTAAGTGAGCCCTTGAAGTTCAAACCCATGCCATTCAAACCCATGCTGTTCAAGGGTCAACCATAATATCATGATGACACATTCTGTGCTTCACTATGACAGGCTTGAAGGAGATACAATATATAATCCTGATTTTATAAGATTAGGGAGGAAATGTACTCTACAATCTGGAATAGGAAGACAGATACAAAGACTCTCTCTTTTATGATTAAAATCGGACAGAAGTTTAAACCTATTATATGCCATACAGTTCCAGAATTATTCCTTACCAAGCAATTGAAAAACCTGTAAAAACTTATACAGTCCTCAAGAAGCTGTTACAGTACAGATGGCATTCAAAATGAAATTATCACTAAATTCAAAGATGAGTCAAGTCTGCTTTTTAAAAAAAAAATTCAACAAGTCACATAAATGTAAACTTTTAAAGAAGATCAGCCTAAATTATGGTACTACACTGAATTATTTCCATTGGGATTACAACTTAGGGCAATGCATAATGATATTAATGTAGTTACTTTCTTCACAGAAGTTTCTCTTTCAGTTTCAATCCAAATGAGTAGCTAGCACATAGGATCATACTAAAATAGGCTAAATGAACTTCACAGGTGTGTCAAGAGGAAAATTTAGATAACATTTACTTTAAAAAATTACACATTATGTTTATTTTCTAGCAGTGAAGGATATATTTTTAAAAGACTTTCAAAAACTAGTACGTAGTCATCTGTCACAAATAAAAATGACTGCTGATGATTACATGTGAAAGAAAACAATAAAAACAATGCGACTATAATCTAGTCCGTGTTGAAGTGAATTCCAAAGTACCTACATTTGCACATTCTTCACACATGACCGTGCTAGTTAATTCACCAATAAAGATACGATCTATGAAGTTCATTTTCACACCTTCTCTTCCATATGCTGTAAAAATAACACTTTTAATGCAAAAAACATAGCAACCATCAACCTAACAATGTAACAGGCTTTTTTTCTGTTGAATCAAAAGAAATCTGAATAACCTGGGACCATATTTAATAATATATTTTACTGTAGTCTCAAATAAATAACAAACTGACTGTTCTTAAACTTTAAGAAGTAAAATAAGTAGAGTAATCACCACTATTCATACCACACTCAACTGCTCCCAATAAACCCTTTAAAAAGCCTCTGTGCCTAACTTAGAAGTAGACAGAGGGATGGGAAAAGAGATTATGATTTAGGGCTACAAATGCCAGGACCATAACTATGGAAACAACAGAGTAGTAAAAGATAAGTAAACACTGCAAAGAATAAAGAACTAATATGGAAATTAATAACTTAGCTATATATTTAACTCCTGTTACACAAAAATGTTAAAATTATTCTATTTATATATTATATATTTATAAATAGAAGAAAATGATGCCTATGCTTTGATTCAAAATAATAGGGAGTTGGGGGAGAACAGATGAAACATGAATCAAGTGTAACTTAAGCATGATTATGGGCACACAGGCACACGGGCTTCACACTATTCTAATGGAAGTTTGAAATTTCTCACAGTAAGCCATGGAGGAAAATATATTTTTAAAAAATTTTAAAGATCTATTAACCCCTCTTTCAAATTTCTCTTCCATCCTTTTTGGATCTCTATCCTCAAATTTCATGCAAACAATTGAAATCATTTTAAAACATTACTTGAAGCACGGAATGACAGAGCAGATTTTTATCCGGACATATCGAGAAATACCTATTAATTATGATGCTAACTATTTAGAAGTTATGTTTAACTAAGATGTTTCATTAAGGAAAATTGTATAAGAGATTGAAAATAAGATTACAAAACTGAAAAGGAGTGAAAGAAAAAACGAAGTTATTCTAAACATGCACTAGATGGCACTATCTCAAAACAAAAGAACAGAGTGTACTTGAGAACCTATTATTTTTTAAAATCTTGAACCTTCAACTGCACATAAAGTTTTGTTATATACAAGCTTAATGTATTTATATTTGTTTATACAGACATGCTTTATATATAATGCTATAAAAACAGAATTAGAAAAGAATAAATAAATAAAATTTATTTATTTATAAGAAATAATATTTTTAAACATTTTCTAAAAATGAGTTACTACCTCAAGGAAGAATATATTTATAGGACACAGTAAATTGTTAATAACATGGGATATAAACCTACATTTAAATACTGATCATTACAAATGATCAGCTTTGATCAGTTAATCATTGTTTCTGTCTCATATTTTGGCTGATGAAGAGTCAACACTAGGAGTAGACATGTCTATTTGACTTAACAGTATCCTCTTAAATAATGATTTCCTTGAAGGAATCTCTGGAACACTGAGCATTTTGTCTAGCTAAGACTAGACAATATTCATAAATCCACTACCTAATAAGCATACTTCAAATGAAAAATGACACAGTATGATAAAAGTGAACTCCCAAGTGACGTTGCTACTTTCAACAACCTTTCAAATCTCCCACATGATACTTCTCTTAAGTGCCATCAGTCAAACTGTATATTTGATATTAGTTGTCTTTTTTTTTAATTCACATAGATTTTTAACATTTTCTTTCTATGACCCATTAGACTATCTTGCCACTACAGGAATAAGTAAACTCGAAATACTTTGGAGAATTAGTTCACATAATGTTCAGTTCCTCTCCCAATTCCCCACTAAAAGAAACTTATAATATTTTCTTCTAGGAAAAACTTTTAACAGTGAAACTGTCAACATACCTTTGACTTTTTTTCTAGTTTCATCATCAGCAGTTTTAGTAGTTGGATTGTTAAATGCTTTTAGAATGCCAGCTTGTATTCGCTATAAAACAAAGCAATAAGAATTTCTCAAGAATCTATACTAGAATGTATCCTTTCAAAGCATTATTCTGTGTTTCTGTGACTAGAATCTGGTTTCAGTGACAATCGACTCAAGCTTCATCCACTTTAAAAAGAGGATTTTCAAACAGCAACATACATTGGATCTCAGTCCCCTAGTCTGTAAAATAAAATGACTGAATTTTTAGAAAGTTAAATGTGTCCTTTACTCCAGTTCTAAAATTCCATGCATGAATAATTGTGTTGCCAGATTCTCCCCCAAGTAAGTCAAGGTTCCTACATACAGGTTCTCTCTTACATTTAAAGTATTTTTCTCAGTCAACAAAAAGCAAGGTGCCTAGTCCCACTGTCTTTTATAGAATAAGTTCTCCTTTTTTCTTCTGCCCCCCATCTCTCCCCACCTCTTGCTGCCTCCCTCCCTCTCCCCCACTCTGTCCCTACGATGGTTTACTCCTTAATCAGGACAAAAAGTAACAAGTAGACCATATGAAACTTCTTATCTATGAAGAAAGTCGTAATACGCAAGAAGCTATTAAACTGGTCACTATGACCTCCATATAGATTATTTTACATATATATATACACACACACATGCATGTATAAACATATGTATATATACACATACATGACTAAAGTCCAGAATACTATCCACAACAAGAAGACAACTCCAGAACTTAATTGTTATTTTATTTGAATTTAGTTGTCAATGAAAATCATGTGTTCAAGTCATCAGCAGCTCTTAGTAAATGATAAGGCTTATGGTTCTATACCTCTTACATATGGTTTAGGAAAGATCTAACCTCACGAAAAGCTCTCAGAATAAAACTACATATATTCCAAAAATAAAGATTTATTTAAGCTAATAAATTATCATCTTTTACACTAATCATGGCCCTCTTAGTGGATACATTTAATCTTCTCTAATTCACATTTTAACAGTGGGGTGAGGGGAACAGTAGTAAGCAAAGTCTTAATTACAGGTTTTCATATATGTGAAACCACTGTCTGACTTCGATTTCTTGATATGAAAATGATACATAAATCTTTTGTTAAAAAATTATCATGCCAAGGAGAAATTAAATCAAACTGCAATCTTCTCAGAGAGTAAGCGGACAAGGCAATGGCAACCCACTCCAGTACTCCTGTCTGGAAAATCCCATGGACGGAGGAGCCTGGTGGGCTGCAGTCCATGGGGTGGCGAAGAGTCAGACACGACTGAGCGACTTCACTTTCACTTTTCACTTTGATGCATTGGAGAAGGAAATGGCAACCCACTCCAGTGTTCCTGCCTGGAGAATCCCAGGGACGGGGGAGCCTGGTGGGCTGCCGTCCGTGGGGTCGCACAGTCGGACACGACTGAAGCGACTCAGCAGCAGCAGCAGCAGAGAGTAAGAAAACTCTATATGTCAGAATCCAAGATACTTTCCACTCTTCAGAACAGCTTTATACATGTAAATCGATTGAAAAGAATTAAAAACGAATTAAGCAACTAACTTATACATTTAGAAAAGGACATCAAACTGAACACAAGTATATGGAAAGAGTTAAGAGGATAAAAGTAGAAATTGAAGAGAATAAACGAATCAAAAGCTGATTTTCTGGGCAGCAGGGATAAATAAACCCACCAAATATCTAAATCAAGACAAGCGTGAAAAAAAAAGATAAGCATGTAAAGCATAACATCACATATAACAAAGATGGAGAATCACTACCTAAATGAAAGATATTGCAAATAATCATGAGAGACCACTTTGCTCAACTCTTAGGTAATTACATCTGAAGATTCAGGAAAAAAAAAAAACATAATATTCAAAAAAATTAGAAAATTTTCCAGCTTTCAAGGAAGAAAAAAAATATATCATTAAAGTCACTGAATTACATATTCCCTACACAAACCTCCAGGACCTAATAATTTCACAAAAGACTCCACTAAATCTATGTCCCAGGGCACACAAAAAGGGAAACTATCAAATTATCTTCGTGAAGCATAATATTGGTACCAAAAGCTGACAAGAGTGTACACAAAGATGTATCACTTAAAAAAATTCCAAGTAAAATATCAGCAACAGAATATAGCTGCACAATAAAAAAAAAAACCCACAAAGATTATAGTATGACCAAGAGGCTTTTATTCTATTAATACAGGGATATTAGTGAGATCTAATAACATTAATATATGCCATCATATACACTGAGAAAAAAATAAGATCAAATCCCTCGATATCCCCATTCACTACTACTATTTACCACTGTATTAAAGTTTTACTGATGTATTTGACAAAAAATAAATCTCAGAGATATAAAAGAGAGAAAATTATTTGCAGATGACATGACTTTTTACCTCAAAAAGTCAGAGGAACTAAATGAAATAAAAAGCTATTACAATGATGAGAATTTAATAGGGAGTATATAAATATAATGAAGTCAATCACCTTCACACAAACAGAACTGTTAGAAGATATAGAAGAAAATAAACTATTTATAATAGCAACTGAAAATATAAAATAACTAGGAATAAACTAAACAAATGTGTAATATCTAAATGAGGAATACTACTGACAGATACAAAAGAAAATTTGATCAAATGGAAAGACAGAGCATGTTCTTGGATGAGTCCTATCATTATGAACATTTCAATTCACCTTCCACCCAATTTATTTATTTAACATAATTCCAGTGAAAATGGCAATAGTATATAGATTTTAGAGTTTTCTTTTTCTTTTTTTAACATGAGAAGTTGAATGGAGAGACAGGTTCTACCTAGATATGGAAAAATAAATAAGAATAGCAATGAAAACTTGGGGGCAGGGAGGAAAGTGTAGGAAGAGATGACTAAATGCATTAAATGACTAAATGCATTAAAATCTTCATAACTGAAAGGTTAAATCTAGTACTTAAACATATAAACAAACGCAACCAAGAACAAGTTGAGAAAAAAACCCAAATAATATGAAAAATTAGTATAATTAGAATGCTACCAATTTAGTGGGGAAAACATACTATATAGTTTGGGTAATTATAGGATAGCCAAACGGGAAAAATTAAAATATCATGGAACAGGGTAAATTTCAATAGATCAAGATTTAGATAAAAGTCAATCATAAAAGTACCAGAAGAAAACATGGGGAAATTCTTTTATAACCTTAAAGTAAAAATGCCTTTTCAACTAAGACTCAATATCCAGAAGTCATATAAAAATTTAAAAAATTTTTAAGATTTTTAAATTAAAAACAAAAAAATGTTTAACATTACATTAAAAAAAGCTATTGCCACATTATAGGCAAAATCATATCACAAATTATAAACTTGGTAACATATTTCCTCTCTAGTACACAAAAAGCTTTTAGAAATCAGCAAAGGATCAAAACCCAGTAGAAAAATGGGCAAAAAAATAAGAACAAATGAAAAGACACTGGGCTTTATTCAAAAAGAGAAAAATGTACACTAAAATTACCCTGAGATACCATTTTCTACCTATCAGATTGGCAAAAATTTTAAAGTTTGGTACAACAGTCTTTTGGTGAGGCTATGGAAAAACACTCTCCAAATATGTTATGTTGCTGACAGAGTGAAAACCGTATGCCTATGGAGGACAATTTGGTAATAGCTGTCAAAATTACACATGCATGCATCATTTGACCCAGAAAGCTCACTTCTGTATTTATACAGATATACTTACAGACATGTGAAGTAACACACATACATTATTCATCAGAGCATTATTCATAAAGGCAAAAACACTGGAAACAACATATAAGGGACAATTAATAAGGAAGCAGTTAGAACTGGCTATAAAGGAAGAGGGTTGTTTTTTTTTAAAGGAAACTTTTTATCTTCTGATATGGAAAGTTGATACAATATGTTCTCTCAAAAAGACAGGGCCATGTATTAGTATATGCCACTTTTTGAAAAATCAAAAGGAAAAATAAACATATGTATACACATACACCACCAAATGAGAACATAAACAAAGATAACAAAGTGGTTTACAGGCAACAGCAGGGGCATCATGTAAGAGAGTCAAAGGGAATTCCCATGAGGACAGGAAGAATTTCAGAATGATGCTTACATATCTAATGTGGGAGGCAACCAATTCAGACTGGGGCAGTGAGACAAGATGGACATATTGTTGACACCAAGATCCCTTCTGCCATTCTACCATGTTTTTCTCTGAGGACAGAATGTAGAGGGAATGAGCTGCTAATGTTACACCCCCCATTCCTGCTCTGCGGCCTTGGTCAGGAAAGGACACAAATTACCACCCCAGAATTGTTCTGCTTGGGCCTGTTCCTGAGAGTCAGGAAGTGGGATACGATGAACTCAGAAGCAGAAAACACGGAGCAGTCTCCAGCCTCTGGGATGAGAAATAGTACCTGGTCTTTTCTAATCTCTTGTCAATTGACCTTGACTTTGACAGGTGTGACTCAGAACACATTCATGACCTTGCCTACCGACCTCCCCAGAAAGAGGTCTTGTAAATTGGGAAGCCAAAGCCAGACTATGTTCCAGAGATTCTCTCAACTCATCTTTTGGGAACCATCCAATAAAGGCAGTTAAGTTTGTGCTTGTTACCTAGTTTTATGAAACTAAACAATATGTTGTTTAAACATACAGAAGTAGCTCTCAAAACTATGGAAGGATTTCTGTAAAAGTCAAAATAGTGGTTACCTGTGCTGAGGAAGAAGAATTTGAAAAAAAGAAACAGGTAGCTTTTATGGTACTAATAATCTATTTTTTAACTCGGGGTGGTGGTAGGGAGGAGTGCTAATAGTATTTATAGTATGCTTTAAACTATATTTTTTAAACTATACTTGTACATGTTCTTTTATATATATGATATGTTTTATAATTATTTTTAATATTCCTCCCCAATAATTATGAAAGTAAGTTCTATTAATTAACTAGCCTATGATCAGCACATTATATTTCCTAGAACGGCTCACTATTCTCTGTAAGTGTATTTTGAAAGTTAATGCAAGATTCAAAAATTTAAATATATACAAAGTAGGATATAAAAGTAAACATACAACAATCCATACCATGTTATTCACTCCTAAAATATACTTACATGTGAAGGAAATTGAAATATGTGTCCCAAAAGCTATTAAATATTGAAATAATCTCCAATTCAGATTCAATAAACTTGAAAATTGATATAATTTTGATACTGTCTGAGGTAAACTTGACTTTTATACCTTGAAAAGAGAACACTGAACTAAAAGAAGCAAATTCGAATGGTGCAAATTCCATCCAAGAGAAATATTCAATGGACTTAAATGAAAGATGGCAATAAATACCCATATAGATACCTATAAATATCATCTACAGATATAGCTGTAAAAAGTCTCTCCAGCAACTAAAGACCTCTAATTTAACTTACAAGTCTATAAATTTATTCTACAATTTGAACATTTTACTAATTCAGACATGACTTTTAATGAGACTTTACCCCCTCTGATATATAAGCTGTAATATCACTCTCTTTTAAAAGAGTAAAAACAACAAAATTGTTTAAATTCTTAACTTTTAAACTATTAGACATTTGCTTTTTTTATTGTATCCTAACCACAAATTTACATTCTCTGCTCTAAAAACTGTTAAAGTTAGTTAAAAGGTAGCTCATCAAGTTGAATAAAATAAATGGGTTTAAGTCCATTACAACCTTCATTGTTAAGAGGTGTGCTTTGAACCATTTAGATTTTTAAAAAAGACTGGTCAGAGACCTACTAACAAACGCAGCACATTAATCAATTCGTAGTATCAAGGTTCAACCAGTTCAAACCTCCTTGTTAAACTTTTTAAAAATAAGAATACAAAACACACAATTTAAGTTAGCAGGCCTATTCTACCTTTAAAATCATCTTACCTAATAATGGATTAAAGTGATAAATCTCTGATAATAAAAATGTACTAATACCATTAATTCAGTGATAGCTCAAACTAAAAGGAAAAAAAAGTCAAGAAGCATATATTTCTAAGCCGAAAAGACTGCCTATAAAAGAAGCCCTTATTGTGAATTTGACTTTATTTCACATATGAAAAAATTTATAATTTTTCCACAAATGATCCCTTTTATCTCTCTACTCAGCAAGAGCGAGTTCTATTCCTCCACCTCACAGTCGTGAGAAAAGGCCTCAGTGGGAGAGCATGAAAGGAGGTCAGCCATGTTTGCGGCCTCACTGGAAGTCTGGCGGCAGACAGGCCGCTGCGGCCTTCCTTCAGTCAAGCCCACACGGCGGTGACAGGCTCCAGCAGCAGCCCGGCTGACAGCTGTGCGTTCCCAGGCCAGACAATGCCGCTCCTGCCCGGGCGCTCACTGGGCCCGACCAGCATGACTGTCCTTGCTTACCAGACAGAATAGACCCAAGACTTGACATTTCAATTCTGCCACTCCATCTAAAAGCCTCAAGCAGAGGAAGAAAGATAAGAGCTTTCAAAAACCAATGTTTCCTGCTGTACTGCCTGAGTTTTCAAGATACTGTGAATCCCAACGCATCATTACGACAAAAGAATAATTGTAACAAAGAATGCCATCGATAAAAGTAAAATAGAAAAAGAAATTACAAGGATAGATTTTATTGTTTTACTTGTAATATCAACAGAGAAAAGCATTGTAAAAAGGTGACTTTTAATTCCATTTACAATGATACAAGACCACCATGTAGTAAACATATTCCTGTAAATCTCAGGGGAAAAGAAAAAAAATCATTCTAGCAACTGATGGCTTGAATTAATCCTAAAGTAACTGCTGTGTCATCTGTAGGCTCAGAAGGCCAAAATGCATTTACTATTCCTAACACAGAGCATCTCTTTCTACTGTGCTACCTTGTATCAATCCCTTCAAAAAGAATATCAGTTCTTATTGTATCAATCCCTTCAATAAGAATATTAATTACTAAATCAGATTCAATACTTTTTCAAATAGTGAAATAATTATGGTTACATTTTAAATAGCAAGCCTAAAAATGTATATTTATACTAGTCACTGGTGATCAAGCATTAACATTAAACTTTTTTTTTGGCCATACTGTGCAGCATGTGGGATCTTAGTCCCCCAACTAGGGATCAAACTCGAATCCCTTGCACAGGCAAAGTCCCTAAAATTAAAGTTTAATAAGCAGTACTGTATAGAATTAGATCATTAGTTTGGTAGTCTGAAACACTTAAGTTTGTATCTCCCTTCTTGGTACCAGTTTCTAGATCTAAGAAAATGTAATGAATTATTAGCTCAGAGGGACTGTGCTAATGTTCCCAAAACTTACTCTTAACTGATTTCTTCAAAACAAATTACAGATAAAATATAATGCAGAACTACCCTTCAATTGAACAATTCATTCAAATTATAACATATTCACAATAAGTGCAAATGCCCACCAAAACTAGTTAGTATAATTCATTTAAGAAACTTTTCTTCCCAATTCAATACATAAATGAAATTGCCCATTTAAAGAGTAAACACAGACAACACATTGAACAAACATTAAATGAGCACCTACTAAGCGCAAGGCACATAGAATCTAACAGAGATGACAGACCTGATTTTAAACAGAAGGTGAGTAAAAAGTAAAGTCGCTCAGTCGTGTCCGACTCTTTGCGACCCCATGGACTGTAGCCTACCAAGCTCCTCTGTTCATGGGATTTTCCAGGCAAGAGAACTGGAGTGGGTTGCTGTTTCCTTCTCCAGGGGATCTTCCCAACCCAGGGATCGGACCCAGGTCTCCAGCATCACAGACAGATGCTTTACCATCTGAGCCACCAGGGAAGCCCCATTAAAATGAAGTGGAAATTCAACTTATTTAATATGATAGCCTATAAACAGCCAATTAAGGACAGAACTGTAATATACACTGTTTGGTAACTAACTCATTCTTTAAGATAATTTATGAGAAATTATTAGAACCATTACTGTCTCTTCACTGAAAACTGGCCATTCAGAACAAAGAAACACTACAATGTCATGTACAATTCAAACAAAGCAGAATTAAAAAAGAAGAGATACCACCCTTCCTAGTAACAAAAGAAACACCTACCACAAGCACATCAGCACTTCACTTGCTCCTGGTTGTTCTACTGCATATTAACATACAGATTAAGAAATATATTCCCCTTGAACAGGAAACAGGGTTTTCACCTGTTATGACAATTAGGTTTGGCAGGGGCTGTCCAGAGTGCTATGTCAAGAACGATTCTGAGACTGAATCCTGACTCAGTGGAACAGCGATGAATGTTTAGCTGCGTCTGCTCCAAGTGAGAAAGGAGGAAATGGGGGCTATGTGCTGTATACTGGACATCTTTAATGTCGAGCATTTTCTCTGAAAAACTGTATCCTATTTGCATAGGACCCCACCAAAAAAGGTGAAAATAGCTAATTTAATATTAGAGTCAACCAACAGCCACTAAATTGAGGGACAGGATTACAGTAAACACTGTTTGGGAAATCTATCTAGATCTTCTTTACTCAACAGACCCTGACTCAGGAGACTAGGATCCCAATCCTCTAGTCCCTAAGTGAATTCTAATCCAACCTGGGACAATGAGGTTTCTCTCTTTGGGGAATTTAAAATTAGGATTCACAAGCAGCCAGTTCATCTTTACACATGGGGAACTGCAATATGCAAGCCGTGGAACTGCAACATGCAAGCCATGGCGGTTAGGAGCTACCATTCAGACAGGGAAGCAAAGAAGCTACGCAGTCTGCAGAGACATGCATAAAGAAAATCTACAGAGCCAGAGAAACCAGGGGGAAAAGGAGAATACTTTCTGGATTTCTGAAAAACTTCCTGTCCTATATCCCCATTATCTGGAATATTAGATTCCTTTTTCTTTATTTAAGCTAGTTTTAATTAATTCCTGTTATTTATAGTCAAAGTATAAACTAACAGAGGATAATAGAGCTGTAAAATGATAAAAAAAAATAATCTTGCAGTAGGCAGGGCAAAAAAGGGGAGGAGGATAAACAGAATAGTTTAAAAAAAAGTCAAATTACTTTCAACTGTACATTAAAATTTTGGTAAAATTCCTTCAATTTTGTACCTTCTTCTTAAAGAGTATATGTGATAAACATTGAGACATCTGACCTTTGTTTCTTCTGTCCTCACTGCATCCAGCAAATAATGAAGAAGTTCCTGACTGTCCTGTTGTTGAAAACTTTTAAACGCAGGGGCCCTATGATTTAAAAACAAAACAGGAAAGAAAAATAAATGAAGTCATTTTATCAACAATATATTACTATTATTTAAAATCACCTTGAAACAACATATATTCAATATTCATATATTCCAAGGTTCAATTTACTCCTTTTTCTATAAGTAGAAGCACAAAATATGGTTACTGTTCCCATGAGGATGAGATCTTCAGGACACTGAAAACAATATAACTAACATTTATTAAGCGATGACTACACATCAAGGACAGCATATGTGTCAAGCTCCACAGTACAGTACACTGAACTTTTATCTTGAGAATCTGGGGACACCCTTAAGGCACATGACATGCCACAGAATATCACAAAACTAGGAATATACATATATACATACATACACACACATATATTTTTTTTCAAATTTCTATGAAAGAATAAATGAATGCTTTAAAGTTAAGCCAGGTCCTTTGTGACGTATTTATTTCTAGGCACACAAGGGTTTTGCTTTAAACCATATTGGCAACATCTTGGGAAATTTACTTAAACTCTGCATACCTCAAAACTCATCTTAAAAAATAAGAAAATTAAGCTAGATGATCTATAACAGCACTTTTAGATTTTATAATTCTATAATTTTCTCACTTTATGGTATTACACCATGGGCTTCTGAGTCAGGACAGACATCTACTTAAACCCTGCCGTGTTCTCATGAAACAAGGGAAGCTACTCAACTACTGGCAGTCTCAGTTTTCTCATACATAAAATGGGGGAAAACAACCATGTCTTCAGAGGATTATGAGACATGATTTACATAAAGCACACAGGTGCAACTAAACAAATGCGAGTTCTTTCTCTTGGTGCATGCGTGCTGAGTAGCTCTCAGTCGTGTCCAACTCCTCGCTGACACTAGGGACTGTAGCCCACCAGGCTCCTCTTGTCCAGGGGATTCTCCAGGCAAGGATACTGGCCTGGGCTGCCATTCCCTTCTCCAGGGCATCTTCCCAACCTGGGGATCAAACCTGCATCTCTTATGTCTCCTGCATTGGCAGGTGGGTTCTTTACCACTCGAGCCACCTGGAAAGCCCCTTTCTCTTGGTAGTCCAAGACATGAGGGCAATGTCAGAGTAAGTGTCAAACTACTCATGTTAAGCTCGAGGAGATCTTCCCTATCCAGGGATCAAACCAGGTCTCCTGCATCACAGAGAGACTCTTAACTGACAGGGCCACCAGGGAAGCCCAGATAAGCATGCTAGTGCTTCGTAACTCATGATCATTCATATTAAGATGGTAGATGTACCCACTTCTGACAAAGCTGATTAAAAAGAACTTTGGGAGAAAGCGGTCCTCTTTCAGTTTCCTTCATGCTGTGAAGAAACAGGAACAAGGCTGAGGTCAATGGTCCAGGGCTTGAAAGTTCCACCACTAACGGGTCCTTTAAAAACAGGATCAACTCTTTGTCAAAAATAAACAATTTTAAAATAAAATGTCATGAAAAAATCTAAGACAGAGTTACACTGTTTAAATGATGACTAAACCACCTCAAGTGTATTAAGAAGCTTTATTCCCTCATATACAAGATAACTATATAAAAAGTGAAATTAAATGCCTCACCTTGAAAAATACAGGTATTCTCATACCCTCTGCCCTTTGCTTTATATAACTTTCAGCTTAAGAGTGAAAACCAGTCTTTCATCGCTTTTACCTGTCCCTTCACGTGCCCTCCTAAAATTACTCACTGACTTGCTATTTGTACATATTCACAAATAATCATAAACATTTATCAGCAAAACCCCATACTCCTTTTTTCCAAATATTTTACGAACAAAATAAGGAATGGGAAATTATGTCACAAAATACATAACCTTGTACTTATTTTATGCCTACTCTTAATAATAATGAAGTCTGAGTGTTTTCTCCCTAATTTGGGGACTAAGACATTTATCACTTCTGTTCAACATATTAGTGGTGGTTTGAGCCACAATCAGGTAAGGAAAAGAAAGAAAAGGCATACAGATTACAAAGGCCCAAAGAAAACAGGTGGTGAAAGAGCAGTGATCTACACTGATAGTCCCACAACTCCGGTCAACTATTATGTCCTAAAAAACTGAGATCTAAGATTGAAAATTTCCCTCTTAGAATGACACAAACCTGTAGTGATCAGCTATAATATCTGACTGCCATACACTAATTTCACAGCTTCAAGTGTGCAATACTTAAATCTAACATCAGATCACAGTTAATAAGAAATCTTTTCAAATGCTTAGCATTATTTAGTAAAGTTGTCTTCACTAGCTCCCAAGGTGGGAACAGGGCTCCACCACAAAAATCTCAAGAGAATGAAAGGGCAGTGAGTTTACAGACTGACTTTTCAACAAAAAATACAACCATAGTGTCTTTCAAAATTGCCTCCTTGGAAGAAAAATCTAAGATTACTGCATTGGGCTAAGAAGTTTTAGTATTCCTCTTTTTTAAGAATTTCAACAGCCAGATTATGAGCTATACCTTCACTCTTTGCTCCTCTAAAACACACACAGACAAATCAATTTCTAACTGGAATCCTAATTATTCGTGTAATACCCTCCAAGACCACCAGGAACACACTTGGAGCAGAACAAGATGGGTTCATTACCTGTTGCTTTGAGGGGGAACACATATAATGGGGAACCATGGAGTGTCTCAATCAGAGGTATTCAAAAGAACCAAGAGAGGATTTGGGTTTCAGTTGGGTGGTTTAGGGAAGAAATTAATCTAAGGAAAATAATTTAAAAAAAGGTCTGCTCTCAATTGGATGCTATAAAAAAGTGGGGTATTTCTATGATGAAATGTGTCAATTAAAGGAGACTAGAATGAAGATAAAGATGTAACAAATGAAAAAAAAAGTCACAGTGACTCATCTTGGCCGAGAAAAGGTGACTGGATTTTCTCAGTGGAAGAGTAATCTTGGTTTAGACAAAAGTATTAAGCGGAGGTGTTTTGTCTCATTTTAAGAGTCTCGGAGTAACCTTGCTTGAGGCTGGTATTCTGTGAGGTTCACAAGAATAACACAGCCTAACTGTGGGTATCAGGCTAGCTTCCGAGTGTCAGAGGCTGCCTTTTTCCCTTTTTCACTAGGCTCCAAAAAACCTTTAGATGATCACTATTAAAATTAAATCTACCTTTAAAGGATAAAAATGTTGTATTTAAGCAAATGTCACCAATAACTATAAATTTTATAATATAAAACAAGAGTCCTAGACATTTCATTCAACAAAATTTAAAACACTTTATTCTAGTATATCTACTCAAAAGCTCCCTCAGTATTTTTTGTGTTGTTTGACTTATGAGATGTTTGAAGCATAACATATCTTAAAGCTCTGATTTTAGAAGTTTTAAGTCTTATTATTTATTTTCATAAAACCCTTTTGAATTATTTTTTCAAATTCTCTGACTACCATCCTAATGGATAGCTCTGACAAGTAAGAAAAACAGATTTTGGCAACATCACCAGCTTATCTAAAAGGAGCTATTATCCAGATAATTAAACTTCTTACCAGTTGAGAGTCAGAGGAAGGAATAATCTTGAGTTTTGTACCATGTTCTTTCATTTCATTCATCAATTCAGTAAGAATGTAAGACTGTGCCAAATTCTGAAAGAAAACAAAAGTATTATCTTCTGATTCAGTTATAATATGCCTCCAATTTCACAGAATAAATACTCTCCAAGTTTCAAATATCATCTGATATAGCAAAAATGTCTTTAGGTTTTAAGAAAATTTAACTAAATACACTTTACATTTAATAAACATCACTATTGCTGACCGAGCCATACAGAATCACTGTGGAAAAAGAATGCATATATACTGTATGACAATGGCTAAAGTGAAAATGAAAGTCGTTCAGTCGTGTCTGACTCCTTGTGACCCCATGGGCTATACAGTTCACAGAATTCTCCAGGCCAGAATACTGGAGTGGGTAGCCTTTCCCTTCTCCAGGGGATCTTCCCAACCCAGGGATTGAACCCAGGTCTCCCACATGGCAGGCAGCTTCTTTACCAGCTGAGCTACAAGGGAAGCCCAATGGCTAAAGACAGCCCAAAGCAATCAAAAAGAAAACAGACAAACTCCCAGACAAACACTTAGCAGTTCAAGGTGTGCAATCTGACACCCAAGTGTGCCAAAAAACACAAATTAACTAAAACAAACTTATACATTTTACAAAGCTTTCTCACAGCTCTTACCTGCATGACTGCATTAAAGAAGCAAGTATTTCCTAAATTTGTAATTCCCTTTACAGATGTTACACTGCCGCCTTTTCTTCCCTTATTTTTTTCACCTGTTTCACAATTTTCTTCACAAAGTTTTATGATTCTAGAAAATGCACCTAAGTTAGAGAAAACACAATGGATATGAGATTTTAAATACATATAATTTGATACAATTTAAATATATTATTTAAAATTAAATAAGATTTTCCTCTGAATCAGTGTTTCTGAGGGGCAAGAATACAAATGGAAATAAGTTGCTCTTGTTTGGCATCTTACTGCTAAAGCAATTCATTTTAATTCATCTTAATGATGAATTAAACCCATTCTTCAAACCTCCCTGTAGAATTCCAGATGAATTTAAAAATAAAGTAGTTTAAAATGAATTTCAAATAAGTAGAAAAAAATCTTGGTTTCTAAATACCATTGTCCATTAAAACAAATGAAGACTCTTTGAAGAAAAGGCTGATTCTAAACCTGGGGCAGCAAAAGAGGCAAAATGAGCCTATACCATTTTTTGTTATGCCAGAAAATAAGTGCTCCAAAGCAGAAAAAAGATGAGTATGGCAAAATACACAGGCATCATTTTGAACAGGTTTCCAGTGGTCCAATTTGGAACAATTTGAATATCAAAATAAAGAAGAGTACTGATAAGAGTATTATTACTCACTGAACAAAATGAGAATGAGTCTGAATTGATAATAGACTTTTTAAATGAGGATAAAAGAAAAGTTTCCTTACAAAAGAATGCCAATTAATAAACAAGAAATGTGATGGAATTTTAAAAACACCTTACAGTAGTAATTTGGGGATGGTATAGTTCTTGTTTTCTATAAATTAGAAACTGTCAAAATAAAATCCACAGATGCTCAAGTCTCTTATATAAAATGGCACAGTACTTACATGTAACATAAGCACATCCACCCATATACTTTAAATCATCTCTAGATCACTTACAATACCTAATACAATAAAAATGCTATGTAAATAAATAGCTGCCAATGAACAGCAAATTCAGGTTTTGCTTTTAGGAACTCTCTGGAATTTTGGGGGGAATATTTCTGATCTGTGGTTGGCTGAACTCAAGGATGCAGAACCTGGGGATGGGGGGTGGGGAACCCCACAGCATAATACAAAAAGTAAAATACAGAATACTTAAGGGTATGGTAAAGTGCATGTTTGGGGCTTACTGACTTGTATAATTAACACCGATTTGCAAGTTATATCAATTCATCATGTTTAACGACTATGAAAATGAAGAAAAATTTCTAACATTTATGAACTAACATTATTATTATCTATTTAACAGATTTCTAAATCATTATAATTTGAAGTTTGACAGGAAACTGCCAAGTTCTCAAATCTTCTGGTTTTAAAGGAATGTTCTTTTATATTCCTTTCAACTCTCAGATTTTACAGTATTTACAATTATATTTTTATTTACCTAATACGGACATTGGAGAGGGAAATGGCAAGCAACCCCTTCCAGTATTCTGGCCTGGAGAATCCCATGGACAGAGGAGCCTGGCAGGCTGCGGTCCATGGGGTTTCAAAGAGTTGGATACAGCTGAAGTGACTTAGCACACATGCACGCGATACTGACATGCTGTCTTGCATTGCTAATTAACTTTTAAGTGTTTGGCTGTCTGCTTCTCCAACCAGATTCACGGAGATGAGAGAATGCTCTATCCTCCACAGGGGTGTGATGTTGAAGAGAACATATATATTTTAAAAGTTCAACATAAATTAAAACCGACAAAAGTAAACAGCAAATACAGTCACATTTTAGCTTTATATGCGTCCAATAACTTCTTAAGAGGAAATAAATTAAGACATCTCCTCCCGGCACTATGGGAGATATAAAGGAGCTGAGGTGGCCCTTTTCTCAGGCACAGGAGCGGGAAAGAAACCCCATTAAGAGAAACCTCAGGTTCAGGTACTGGCAGACCAGTATCACGCACACCTTGTTGGTCAAGTTAGGCTTGACTTGGAACCTGTGACGTTTGCCAAAGAAAAGGCTTCTAGCTGTAGGGCTCCAGTATCAATCAAGTGGGATGATGAACATATTTTCTTATATGGTTTTTGTAAGGATTAAAGGAGCTAAACTTGCTTTGCGAAGTATCTGGCATGCTAAGCACTATGTAAGTGTGTGAAAAACAGCTCAGAGAGCCCCCCGAGATTGCTATTCATGCCAACACCCACATCATCATGAGCTGTTTGTCATGTCCATTGTTTGTCTGCTCTCACTTTCTTCTCTTTAATCATTTCCTATATTTTCCGGGGATTTTCCCCTCAAGTTTATCTCATTTCTAACTGTATTTCCTAAACTGCTAATGTGAGTTTTGCCTTTTACATTGACTTCGTGGTTTTTGTGATCCTGCTTTTTTTTCCTAACATGGAAACATCTTAGTGAGAAAAACAGATCTGTGGTTTCTCAGATGTTTCTTTCACTAAACAAATCTACTACAAAGAAAAGATTTTTCCTTCAACTCAACTTTTACCCTGTGGCGCAACATTTTATCATAAACTCTATTACCTGTTTTTCCCCCTTTATTCCTATGTTAAACACTATTGGTTGTTACTGGATATTTGTTATCCAGATAATGAAGAGTTGTTTTTAAATCCCAACCCTAGAATTCTGAATTAACACAGAAAAGAACTAAAAGATCTATTAAAATAGATATCTCCTCCTGTCCTTCAGATATTAAAATAACTGATAAGAATTATACCCCATACTACAGCCTGGGGACAAAGCTTGGCACAATCAATGGAGAGGGTCATTGAAGTACAGAGGCCAGGCGTAGAGAAAAGGAAGAGCGGGAAAAGGCCAGACAGCATTCAAACTTGCAAGGAAACGTAAAGGCAAATGAAAAAAGCCAGCCAGTGCTTAAGGAGCACTGCGCAAACCAGAGTAAGCCCCATGCCGACCCTGGCCTGCAAACGGGAGTAGGCCACCTTTTAATCACATCTGATATTCTGACTGAAGTCCAGGATTGGCAGATTTCAGGCTCTCATTGTCGGTGTTGCCACTGGATGGTTTCACAGTGATTTTAAAGAGATTTAGGATGAAAGAATAATTAAATCCAAGCAGTGTCCCGTCTTTGGGGGCAAGGCTGTTGCTGTGATTTTACAAAACTCATTCGCCAACTGGTTAAGTGATTTGCCCAGAATTAAAAATGATAATCTTTTGATTATAAATCCATTGTCATTTTGCCAGGTAATTCCTCTTCAGTGGTTTATGCACAATGAGAAGAATTACAAAAAAAATAGCAGGCAAGATTTGTACAGATTTAACTGTTCTCAACCCCTAACAAATATGACTTCTCACAAGTATTCCCTTTAGTTAACGTTCTTAATAAATGTTGCCATGTTTTAGCTTATTATGAAAACAGAGTGACTGGGAGAAATAAACTATATAGATATTAACTCTATATAAATATATACTCTATATCTATAAATTATATTTATTATTCACTTGGGAAAATACTTCCATAACTAAATTACATTTTACTCTTATAAGGCCAAATAGTATTTATTAAACCATAAAGTGCAAATGATTTATGTATCTGTATACCACATTTACCCATCAGTTTTCAAAACATCTGGGATAGCATCTTAAAGTAAACAATGTTCATAAGACCATCTGGTCAAAACTGCAGGCAAAAAAAAGCATAAGCATATGGAAAACCAGATTTTACCCTTCCCTTCAGCAATGAGGGATGACAAATGTCAAACCGAGATACATCCACGCTTCACTGTGCGATGCTTTTCAGCACCACCTGGCTCTCCGTGCAGAGCCACCAAATATGGACAGCACTGCCAGGAAGAACATATCCACGGGCAATGGCAATAAAAACAGTTTATTTCATGGTTAAATAGCTACTTCACACAAGTGGCAAGAGTCTGTCTTGTTGACTTTTACATATACCTCTGTGATAACACCTTCAAAATTAATTATGCTATTAGGCTTGAATATTAAATAGATCAAATAATAGGACTAGAAAACGGACTGACATTTTCTAAGAACTATTTATATGTATCCTATTTCAAGTGCACGTTTTACATTTTACTAAGCAGCATGGTTACAAGGAAACAGTTATATATGAAACAGTTTATATAATTATATGTAAACTATAAATGTAAAATTCAACAGTTCAAATAAAATTGCTTTATTAAATGTCCACTGTGTACCAGGTAAAGTATGTACCACTATCTGTAATTATTTATAATTAATTGCCTATGATTTATGACTAAGGTATAAGGAATTGACACACCATGAGTAGCATAGAGAGATTTAGTCTTACATTCATGATTACATCATGGTAAAACTTTCAGAAACTAAGTATTTGTGTACATTTGCTTACTGAAACTGTCAGCTGCGAGTTTAAGGTTCTAGTTGAAAACAAGGGTGTTTGAATCAGTCTCTCAATTATCTGACCTATAGACAGGTATGCATTTTAGTAAAACGCAATTTATTATTTCCAAAGTAGAATAATTATCGATCTTTTTGTTTTTAGAGACAACAAAGCTTTCTGAATCTGGCAGCGATTTTAGATCATATTCACTTTAAGAACTCATCCTTTATGAACACAGAATGAATGCACTAAGGGCTGAACTTCAAGATGTTTTGAAGGATGGTATAATTAAAAGGACAAAGCTGCTACAACAATAACAAAAAAATAAACCAGACAAAGTCTTCATCATTTGCTGGCTGAAGCACCAGCAGAGCCAAAATAAAGAGAAAAAACAATGTTTTCAAAATTTGGCTAAGACTATCTAAAAAGTAATCTTAAGTACCTCAAATTTTGAGTAATTTTTGAGTAATTACTCAAATTTTTGAGTAATTTTTGAAAATTTTTGAGTAATCTTAAGTACCTCATTTTCCATAAAAATGAGTCCAACACAAAGATTCTCTACCTTTTAAACCAACTCTAGATATTAAATTATAAACTTTAAAAAATGCTTAATGAAAAAAAAAATCCTTAATGTACCAGAAAATTTCGAGTGAGTATCTTTATAACCTTAATACAAAAGACTTTCAAAGTGTGACCTCAAAGGCTAAAAAACCATTAGAGAAAAGACAGGTGGACTTAGTAACAGTGACTCTAAAAACTTTGTT